TGAGAATAACAGGGAGCACTAAAAATAATTACCCTGGACAACAGGGCAAACCAGAATGTGTGATCGCCCTAGCCAGCTTTCATCCAGCCAGATAGCTCTTGAAGCCACCCTGGGGCTGGGTAAGTGGCTTTCTGGGATCACCTGTGCCTCAGGGTATAGGGTGGGAGAGCTAGTCCCCCTCTGTCCTCACGCCGGGTGCATGTCCAGGCCTCCTCAGGACCAGTGCTTCACTGCACTGACTCGTCTTCTGTTGCAAAGGACTGAGCTTGCGCTTCCTGGCAAATGTTTTTCTTATAACAGACCTCCGGTCTGAGGAACCAGCCCTGAATAAACCAGCCTAGCCCCACCGGTGCTGGAGCAGTCAGGTTCTGGTTGTCCAAGACCCAGTGTTGCACCTTGGCACAAGCAGACAGGCCTACCAGCATCGCCCCCAGCTGCCAGTTCCCCCAAACCTTTAGCCACTCAGTTTGTGGTGAGTGTGTTAAATTACACCTTCTAAGGGGAAGCTCACCTCTGGATGCCTTACACTCTTCCTTGCCTTGATTGTAATATATTGGACACACTTGGACCTCTGAGATCTAGGCTTACAAGCTTGGGGTCTCATCTGCCCACCCATGTTCCTGGCAGCATCATTCACAATAGCCAAAAGGTGGGAGCAACCCGAGTACCCATAGACAAATGCACGGATAAGCAAAATGTGGTCTGTACCTATAATGAAGTATCATCCAGTCTTAAAAAGGAAGGAAATTGTGACACATGCTACAACATGGATGAGCCTCGAGGACATTATGCTAAGTGAAATAAGCCAGCCACAGAAAGACAAATAGCGTTTGATTCCCCTTACATGAGGTACCTAGAGAAGTCAATTCATAGAGACAGAAAGTCAAGTGGTGGTTGCCAGGGGCTGGCGGGGGGGGGGGGTGAGTGGGGACTTGTTATTCAGTGAGTATAGAGTTTCAGTTTTGCAAGATGAAGAGTTCTGGAGATCAGTTACAAAACAATACGAATGCACTTACTACTGAACAGTAAACTTTAAAATGATCAAGATGATAAGTTTGATAGCATGTATGTTTTACGGAAATTTGGGGGACAAGAGAAAAAGGTAGGAGCCTGGCGAGTGTGCAGAACCAAAGGGCAGTGTGGTGGGTGAGTGGATGGCAGTGAGCCACGGCAGCGTGGGCAGCAGAGTCAGACCGAGGGAAAGAGCTGGCACCCAGTGAGACAGCGGCTTGGAGCACGTCATGCATTAACTCGCTTGATCCTCACAGTAACCCTTAGCACGTAGATACAATTACTGGCCCCGTTTTGCAGATGGGGGAACTGAGACACGCACTTTGCTCAAGATCACAAAACCAACAAGTGAAGAGTAGGGTTTTTTTTTTTAATAACAGCTTTATTGAGAGATAACTCACATACCACACACTTCACCCTCTTCAAGTGTACAACTCAGTAGCCTCTAGTGTATTCAGAGCTGTGCAGCCGTCACCACGGTCTAATTCCAAAACTCGTCCATCGTCACCCAAAAGAAACCATAAGCAGACATTCCCTAGCCCCTGGCAGCACTCATCTACTTTCTGCCTCTAGGGAGTTGCCTGTTCTGGACATTTCTTATCAATGGAATCATACAGTATGTGGTTCTGTGTGACTGGCTTCTTTCACGGAGCATCATGTTTTCAAGGTTCATCTGTGTTGTAGCCTGTGTGTCAATACGTCATTCCTTTTTATGATAGAATAGTATTCCATTGTATTGGATAGACCACATTTTGTTTATTCATCCATTGATGTATGTTTGGATTGTTTCCACATTTTTGTTATAAAGATCACTGCTGTGAACATCTGTGTACAAGTGTTGGTGTGAATGTGTGTTTTCATCTCTCTTGGGTAGATCCCTAGGGATGGAATTGCCGGGTCACGTGGTAACTCTGTGTTTAACATTTTGAGGATCTGCCAAGCTGTTTCCCACAGCGGCTGCACCATGTGACACACCTGAGGAGTAGGGATTTGAACCCAGGACCTCTGGCTGCAGAGTCCATGTTCGTAAACCACCACACTAGCTTAATATGGGCAGGAGCCTGGAGTCCCTTACCGGCTAGGTGACCACAGTCTGGGCTACTGAACCTCTGGGAGACTCGTTGTCTTTGTGGGCAAACAGGATTATGGGGAAGGGATAGCCCAGGTTAAGCACCCGGCCACAGCAGGCTTTGCCCATGGTCTTCCTGGTACAGCGCTCGCTGGAGCTTGGTGTCACCTAAGCAGACGCATCAGTGGAGGCAAGGAAGTGTGACATGTAGGTTCCTGTAGCTCTTGGGGTCCTTGGAGGGCCTGGGCAGCTGTCAGTGGAGAGGGGGCCTCCCCAGCTGACCCAGCCTAGGCTGTGGCCACCTGATCTGAGCCTAGGCTGCCGGGAGGTATACAGTTCTGGCAGGAAGGGAGTGGGGGGCAGTCAAGTCAGGCCTCCCTCCTCCCGCACAGGCCTCGGACCCTGGGCAGTACCAGGTGCATACGTTCAAGGTAGGGTTAGTTTTCCCTCCAAGGTGGGCCTCCTGGACGCTCCCCTGGACTTTCCTCTCCACCCTCAGGACCTCTCCACCAGGCCCACCTTCCTTGAGCCCCTCCCCACCCCACAATTTACTCCCTTTCTTGAGCAGGAAAGGCAGTGGGTGGAAATTTGTTCTCAAAGTTCAATCTTTTTCCTTCAGAGTTCAAAAATCACTGAGGCCGTGACTGATAGGATGGATTTAGAACAAACAAAGCTTTTAGCCTCGGCGATCTTTCTTGAGAGCCTACTACGTGTCAGGCTGCAGTAGGGTTTTCCATCCTTTTCCCTCACCAGGCTCCATAGGAAGGAGGGCTCCCAGCCAACGGTGGAGTCAGCGGCTCGTAACTCACCCCAATTCACACAGCAGACACCTAGCAGACTGGGGCTCAGGCCTGTGCTAAGGCCCATTTCTCAGGGGGCGTACACACTTGTAAGAGTCAAGAAAACGTGTTTTTAATCCAACGTCCACCATTTACCAGCTCTGTGACCTTGGACAGCTTGTTGAGAGCCTCAAAGGAGGCTCAGTTTCCCCATCTTTCAAATAGGCACCATGCTATCGAGCTCTTTGGGTTCCACTGAAGATTAAGTGGGAAATTTTACATCAAGGGCTTAGGCGTCTGACCCACAGTGAGCTGATCATTCATATGAATTCGACGGATAGCTTTTGAGGACCGAAGTGCCCTGGGCTGGACTGCACCCCTTGGCGAAGGGCCTCTGTCCCCGCGGTGCTGATGGTCTGTTCTGCTTTGAAATTGTTGGAAGGGCTGAGCTGGTGGTTGCAGGATGGAATGACTAATTCTGATTTTTATTTGACCAGGGGTGTTTTTTTTTTAATTGAGTGAGCTGTGGGGACTGACAGACTGGCCCAGGGGGCCGGGGATGGGGAGGCTAAAAGCAGAAGAGGAGTCTGCAGGCATGTGGACCCGAGAACCTTTGTGGTTAGGCCGGCGGCCCACCGTAAGGGCAGCTTGTCAGAGCCGAGAGTGCTGGTGTCCTTTCAAAGGCATGAGCTCTCCGCTCCCAGCAAGGTCCTGGGAGCCCTTCTCAGATGGTGGCGATCGCGAGACCCCTCAGTGCCCACCTGTACTGCCGGCCTCGCTTGGGCACCAGCTGTGTTGTTAAAACGCCCCGTAAAAAATCAAACCATTGGAAGGTTGCCCTGAGTTAATGCCCCGAGGAGCACTTGTTCTCAGAAGCCAGGACCCCTGAGTCCTCCTGCAGAATGAAGGTTCTTGCATCACCCCCACCCCTACCCCGCACACACACCTCTGTCCCATGAAGGCAGGTGTCCTCCGCAGACTCATCCCTTCACCCACCAAGGGCAGGGACTGGCCAAGGGGGATCCCCGTGGGAGCAGTTAGGTGCCTGTGAGGTCTGGAAGCCTGTGCCTCCAGCCTCCGAGGGCTTGTCTGCCACCCCAGGGGGAATCAAGCCCATGGGGCAGTGGCTTGGGAAGGCAGAGGCTGCACCGTGGAGAGGGTTCATTCTTGCCTTCTGGGGTTTCCTTACACCTGGCGTGGATTCTTGGCCCTTGAGGCTTCCTTCATCTCCACTAGTTCCCAAGTGTGTCTCGATACCCATTCTGTGCCACATGCTGGCCCTTTGAGGGCTTGGACACCAACCCTGGACTCGTTGTGGACAGCACGGTGGGGAAGACGGCTCTCCAAGATCTTGATTACACTAATCTGGTGAGAGGAAAGTCCTCAAGGCTCGGGGGAGCTCGAGGTACAGGGGAGGAAGTACAGTTGAGTCCAGGTGGGTCGGGGAGGGCTTCCGGGAGAGGTGGCATTGAGCCAGGCTTGAAGCATTGAGGTAGAGAAGGGACTTCCAAGAAGGTGGCACAGCATGTGCAAAAGCACAGAGCCCTGGCCAATGTGGCCCATGGTGAGCTGGAGCAGCGTGGGAGCTGGAGGGGATGGCCCCGTTATGAGGGGAGAGAGGGCTCTGTCCAGCCTCCTCGGTCAGGACCTGGTCACTGGTGTAATCCCAGGGCTGAAGAAGGCTCGTGGGAGAGGGGAGGGCAGGGCAGGTAAGGAAGAGGACAGCTGGGGGAAATGGCCCAGTGGAAAAGGAAATGAGAGAGAATGTGGTGTGGGAAATCTAGGCTAGCGAAATGCCACTTCTGGGTGTATACCCGAAAGGATTGGAAGCAGGGTCTCAAATATTTGTACACCCATGTTCACAGCAGCGTTATTCACAACAACAAAAACATGGAAGCAACCCAAGTATCCATTGACTGATGAACTGATAAGCAAAATGTGGTGTATGCGTACAGTAGAATACTGTTCAGCCTTAAAAAGGAAGGAAATTCTGACACCTGCTACAACACGGATGAACCTTGGGGACTGAGTGGTATAAGCCAATCACAAAGGATAAATACTGTACAAATTCATAGAGACAGAAAGTAGAATGGTGACGCACAGGGGCTGGTGATGGGGAGAATGGGGAGTTATCGTTTAATAGAGACAGAGTTTCAGTTTTACAAGACGAAAAGAGTTATGGGGATGGGTGGTGGTGACGGTTGCACAACAGTGTAAATGTAGTTAATACCACTGAGCTGTATACCTTAAAGTCATTAAGATGGTAAGTTTTTTGTGTATTTAATATAATAAAATGCATGCTGAACAACAGACAACAAATCCAGGCTAGTGAGAATGAGAAGAAAGTTGAGAGGTGGAGGTGTTGCAGGGTGTCACGGGGGTGTGGAGAGGATTGTCACTGACAGAGCATGAGTCTTGATGGATCTGAGTTTGAACCCTCACTGTGCCGCCTGTATTAGTCAGCTTGCGCTGCAATAACAAAATACCACAGCCTGGGTGGCTTAAACAACAGAAATTTATTTCTCAGTTTTGGAAGTTGGTAATCCAAGATTAGGACGCCAGTAGATTCACTTCCTGATGAGGGCTCTCTTCTTGGCTTGCAGATGGCCGCCTTCTCCCTGTGCCCTCACATGGTCTTTTCTCGGTGCAGGTGCGTGGACAGAGAAAGCAAGCGATATCTCTCTCTTCCTCTCTTAGGGCACTAGCCCCATCACGGGGCCCCATCCTCATGACCTTATCCAAACCTAATCACCTCCCAGAGTCCCCACCTCCAAATACCATCCCATCGGGGGTTAGGCCTTCAACATATGAATTTGTGGCGGACACAGACATTCAGTCCATATGCCCCATTTGGAGTCATTTCACTTCAGTAAGTCTCAGTTTTCATATCTGGAAAGTGCTGATGAGCCTCTGGAGTCCTGTTGGAGCCTCATGTGCTCTTGTGCATCCAATGCCTGGCCTCTAGGAGTTGCTCATCAGGCCTTGGCTGTCATCAGCTAGGCTTCCCTGAGCATCTGCCATTCTCCATAACCCCTCGATGTCCCCAGATGGTCTGGGGCTCTGGGAGATGCTCATTTCCCCCCTTGCAGGCTGTGCTTTGGGCCTCTCTGACTGGGTCTGGTGCTGGGGTCTCTAAGCAGGAGGGTGAGCACAGACCAGGTCTCAGGAAGGCTTAGGTGGGCTGTTTGTCTTCACGTTGAGGCTGGAGATCTTGGGATACCTTCCCCATTCTTTGTTTACCCACCCCTGAAGGACCTAGGCTTACTTGGGTAGTGGGGGCGGTGACCAAGCAGCTTCTAGCTGGAGAGAATGCAGAGTGCCAGGGTCTGCTTTAAGATGACAGGTCACCTGGCTTCTTAGGTGGGTCAGGGTCAGGCCCCCTCCCAAACAGAGGGTTGCAGGTGGGCAAGAGAGGTTGTACCCCAGCCTGGGGGAGGCAGGGAGCCCCATCATCCTCTGATCCTCCTCCATTCTTGTGGCATCAGGCTATGTCTGGGCTGTCGCCTGGGTCCTGGGCAGGAAGGAGGAGAGGATTGTGACTGCCAGGGTCACAGCACAAGTGAACAGCAGGGCTGGGGTTTGATCCCCGGGATAGTCTGGCCCCCAACGCCATGACCCTGGCCATGACACCCTCCTTCCTGCACCCTCTCAGTGGCCCCTGCTGGCATGCCACTCTTACCTGGCTCCCCTGCCTTGGCAGTCCACCTTGGCCCTATCGCCTCCTTGCCTCTGTTTTTTTTTTTCCTTCGTTTTAAATGTTTGGATAGATAGCAAATTCACAATTTATTAGAATTCCAAAGTTACACAAAGGTGCCCAGTAAAAGCTTCCTCCCACCCTTGTTCTTCAGCCAACAATTCCCACCCCCACGGACAAGGAGATCAGTGGGGATCTCAGTGATATTTCCTGTGTGTGCGTGTGTATATATATATGTGTGTGTGTGTGTGTATGCAAATACGCATATGTAGTATTTTCTCTCTCTCTCTCTCTTTTTTTTTTTTAACATAAATTGGTGTTAAACCTTGCTCACTATTCCCATTCTGCACCGTGGTATTCTTCAGCTGAAGTTCGTCTTAGTGGTGATTCACATCCTTCATTTTAACTGTTGCACAGTTTCCCAAGGACCAGGTGACCATCATATCTTTAAACTTACTCCGCAGGTGGACCTTTGTTCCCAACCTTTTTTGTCAGTATTTACAATTAATGCCATAACGTGTAACTTGGGGCACAGGCCTTATTTTTCATGCGTGAGAATATGCCTACAGGCAAATGCCTAGAAGCAGAACCCGGGGTCAGAGCACGTGTGTTGGAAAAGTCCTCACGTAGTGGCTGCGGGAAGGGGTTCCCATTGACAGCCCTGTCTGGGGGTCCTGGGCCTGCTTCCCACCACCTCACCACCCAGTGTGTCATCAGATAGCCCGGTAGGTAAAGGACCCCTCTATGTCCCCTTCCATTCTGGGGGTGCGTGTTTATGCACATACATGCCAGCCCTGAGGCATTTGCTTGTCTTCTTGTTTGGGGCCCTCTGTCACCGTTCATCTTATTTCCCCCAGCCAGCTCACAGGACCCCAGTGGGCTGTGGCAGGTCTTAAGCCTTTCACCTCCAGAGCACCCAGCCTCTAGTCGGCCCACCATAGTTAAAGCCCTGATTTTATTTGCTCTCATATCAGGGTATTTGCCCATCTCTGTGGCCAGCTCCCCCGCTGTCCGCCTCCATGTGCAGGTGAAGACATCTGTCTGCAAGGCCCTGGGGCCCAGGTAGCCACACCCACATTCAAGCATCCCCAGTGTGCCCAGCCCTTGAAGCTGAGTCCACACCTCCAGAGGCTGCCCCCTCACAGGTCCAGAGCTCTCTCACCTCCACAAATGTTGGAAACTGGCCCAGGTCCCAGCACCCCCAGGCCTTTCCACCTTCCTGCCAGATTTAGCTGATGGGGAGGCTCCAGGCTCTGGGAGCAGCTGGGCCTGAGCAGTGCCCTCCCTGGGGCTTCACAGCTGTCCCAGAGGTAAAGTGTGCCAGACCCCATAAAGATACCCGCCCGCCCCAGGGCGGTGGGTAGGCAGCTTCTGGCCCCTGTTGCCCTCAGAGAGCTCTGGAAGAGCCTTCTTGCCGCTGCCAAAGATGCAGCAAGAAGCTCACCCCCCTCCTGTGCAGGTGGAGGATGCTAGCATCACAGAGGCCCAGGCCTACCCGCTTACCAGTCACATGTAGCATGTTCTGCCCACTTAACTCACGGCCTTTGGTGGAGTGTTAGCCTTTCCAGTCCTCAGTTTCTTCATCTGCAAAATGGGGTGATAACACTGACTTGGCCAGCTCATCAGAAATTCCTTTTAACATCGTTATGTTCTGATTACTTGAACGCCACTGTCTCCCTTACTTTCTCTCCCTCCACGACTTTGGCAAATTGGATGTGGCCCTGGGATATAGGCCACAGCCAAGTGAGAATTTTAATAAAAGTGAAATATTTGGCCCAGAGCCCATGGAAGGCCCTTGGGGCCTGGCCCTTCTCACTGTGGGGCAGGGCCACTAGACTGTCATTGAGCTGCTCCAGGCAGCTCAGAGAGGTAATGACAGGTACAAACCCAGCAAAAGAAAACGCCGCATCCCCCAGGAGAGGTTGGGTAATAAGGAGCTGACAGTGGGTGCCTGTGTTGATTTTCGGCCCATCCTGACTTTGGGAAGTTGGTGTCACCATCAACCAGGAGTGCAGGACAACACGACAGCTTGGGCCGGGGCTTCCTTTGCAGGCATGTCTCAGCCATAGCTGGACCCCCAGGCCAGGCGCACTTTGGAAGCAGCAGGGGCTGACGACCCCTGTCCAGTAAGTAAGCATAGCTCTGCTGCTGACTGAGCCTGCCCCAGCCTGGGACAGCTAGGGAGAGTAGACTGACCAGAGGGTTCTTTGCCCCAGGGCAGGTAGGTGCAGGGCTGGAGGCTGGCCACAAAGGGGTCCTTTCCAGCCCTCTCCTGCCCCAGCCTAAGGTCTGGGACGGCACCATTTGGGTGTAAGCGCTGCCCTCCCTGGTGGAGAATGTTAGCACACTGAATAGCTAGTTCTCGGCCACTCTGGGCTGGACCCAGCCTGACATCTTTAGTTCAGCTCTTTTATTTCATGGATTTGGAACTGAGTCCATAAAGGAGAGGACTAGCCAAGGCACGTGGCGGTCACACTGATTCCCCCAGGTGCAGACAGGCCCTGGGGAGCTAGGCTGCGGCTCAGCTCAGAGCCCCTTCCCTTCAGCTTGGGAACCATTCTGTACCGTTTCTCATGGGCTTATGTTCATTGCAGCCCTTTTCCCATCATCTCTGGTCATTTGTCCAGTTGTTTCACGAGTCTCAGTAGCCGTCAGTGTCTTTAAGGGTATTGTGGACTGAATGTTTGTGTCCCCCCAAAACTCATATGCTAAAGCCCTAACCCCTAGTGGGAATGTATTTGGAGATAGGCCTTTAGGAAGTAATTAAAATTAAAAGAGGTCATAACGGTGGGGCCCTGATCCAATAGGATTAGTGTCCTTAGGAGAAGAGGCACCAGAGAGCTCGCTTGCTTTCTCCCCACATGTGCACAGAAGGAAGGCCAGGCAAGGATGTAGCCTTCATCAAGCCAGGAGGGAGCCCTCTCCAGAAACGCTGCCAGCACTCCGTTCTACTTCCATCCTCCAGAGCTGTGAGAAAATAAACTTCTGTTGCTTAAGGCCCCCAGTGCTTTGTTCTGGCAGCCCTGGCTGTTGTTGCCCTATGTGTCCCCCATGCCACCCTAGCCCTCCTGGACTGCTGAGATTGAGGACCAGTGGAAAGAGCCCCGACAAGACTGTCCCAAAGCCTCAGGGAGCCCATCTTGGTAATGGGAGGGTGAAGAGAGAGGCAGGTAGGTCAGGTACTCGTGGGCACAATAGCAATTTTCCTGCCCTTTCTCCCTGGCTCAAGGTTGAGCTCATTAAAAGAGCTAAGTGTCGGGAATTCCGTGGTGGTCCAGTGGTTAGGACTGTGCGCTATCAACAGGTTCGATCCCTGGTCTGGGAACTAAGATCCTGCAAGCCGTGCAGCGTAACCAAAAAAAAAAAAAAACCAAAAACAAACAAAAAAAAGAGCTAATTGTCAGTGCTAGACATTTTACCCCCTGAGCTAAGTGAACAACCGGGGGGCTTTTCCTGGGGGAAAGTAGTGGTAAACTCGAGACCCCGCCTCATGCCAGCAGCTAGTCCTTCACTCCTGAGGACCTCAGTGAGGTTCCGGACATCATGGAGACAGAGATGGCATCTGGACCTGGAATGGTCCCAGGGCCTGTGGCTTGGGGGTTAACCGCAGCCGAATGACCTGGAGCTGCAGGCCACGGAGGCAACGTGGACATTGTTTCAGGTGGAGGCTGCTTGCTCCTGAATGAGTGATGGGTAGAAAAGTTCCAGAACTGTACTGTCCAAGTCGGTAGCCTCTAGTTCACATTTAGTTAATATGAACTCTAGCTAAGTTCATATTAATTAAAATCAAGTAAGATTTTTTTAAAAATTCAATTCTTTAGCCACACTAGCCTCATTTCATAGCACTCAGTAGCCACACGTGGCTGGTGGCTAACCCACCTGGACAACGCAGGTGTAGACCATTTTCATCATTCCAGGAAGCTCTTCTGGATAGCACTGTTCTAGGTTTGTTTGGACTCAGTAGAGAGAATGCCAGGTTCATTTCAACGATGGCTGTCCTGACTTAGGGTTGGGCGGAGTGGGGTCGCACCTGGCTGTACGTGCCACCCTTTGCAGGCAGATGCCGGGGGTACACCCCGTGGGCTCCTGGTCAGAGCAGTCGGGTACGCTGTAGTGGGATGTGGTTGAACCTAGGCTGGCCTGGCCAGCAGGAATTGGCTCCGTCTGGGGATCTCAGGGCTCCTCTCTGACATCCCAGCCGCTCCCACACTTAGCTCTGCTTCAGCTTTCTGCTCCAGCGCCACCACCTCCAGGGTGCCCTCCCTGAGCCCCAGACCCCCAGCACTCCCCCGCTTGCCCTTCTCTGCTTATTCCCTGCATCCACCCCGCCTATGTAAACACATCATCACGTCTGCGTCCCCAGCTAGCGCAGCGCTGGGCCCGTGGAACTGCGGTGGACAGGGCAGCGGCTTGGCAAAGCTGGAGCCGCAGTCCTTCCGACGCAGGCCCTGTGTTCTGACTCTGGGGGTGACAAGGCGCCAGCCCAAAGCGCGGGGAGACACAGAGCATGCCCAGGGTCACCCAGCTTGCTAGGAGTCGAGGCTGAACAGGCCCAGCTGGAGGTGCTGAAGCCCAGTTGGAGCAGGGAGCAGCTGAGATGCCCAGGTCAGCATCCAGAGCTGGCAGGTGGTCACAGGCCATCTTCTGCTTCACCTGGTTTACATGTCGCTTAACCTACTCCTGACCCCACCTCAGAGGCAGCCCAGTGAGCTCTAAGGGGTCCCAGGGGCCGTTAGCTCGGGACCCCGCCACCTTACTCCAGGCACCGATCCCATGAGTGGTCACACACACAGATACCCCTTCATCCAGGAAATTGACTGCCCCTCAATCCCAAGACATTTGAGAACTTCAGGGGGACTAGGAAGGGAAAAATGGGGAATCTGTAGGCCAGACATGTTTTCCTTGGCCCACGCGGTGTGTTTTTTGAAAAGTACACCAACATTTAGCTCTCTCCTCCTCGCTTCCAAGATGACCAAGAAAAGAAGGGATAATGGTCGTGCCAAAAAGGGCCGCGGCCTCATGCAGCCTATTCGCTGCACCAGCTGTGCCCAACGCATGCCCGAGGATGAGGCCATTAAGAAGTTCGTCATTCGGAACATCGTAGAGGCCACAGCTGTCAGGGACATTTCCGAAGCGAGGGTTTTCTGTGCCTGTGTGCTTCCCAAGCTGTGTGTGAACCTGCATTACTGCGTGAATTGTGCCGTTCACTGCACAGTAGTCAGGAGTCATTCTCGGGAAGCCCGGAAGGACCGAACACCTCCACCCCGATTTAGGCCTGCGGGTGCTGCCCCACAACCTCCGCCAAAGCCCATGGAAGGAGCTAAGTCCTTAAAGACTGAAGAATACTGTCCCCTGGAAAGACAATAAAGTGGAAATTATACTTAAAAAAAAAAAATAGGGACTTCCCTCGTGGCGCAGTGGTTAAGAATCCGCCTGCCAATGCAGGGGACACGGTTCAAGCCCTGGTCCGGGAAGATCCCACATGCCGCGGAGCAGCTAAGCCCGTGCACCACAACTACTGAGCCTGTGCTCTAGAGCCCGTGAGCCACAACTACTGAGCCCACGTGGCACAACTACTGAAGCCCGCGTGCCTAGAGCCTGTGCTCCGCAACAAGAGAAGCCATCACAGTGAGAAGCCTGCGCACCGCAACGAAGAGTAGCTCCCGCTCACTGCAAGTAGAGAAAGCCTGCGCGCAGCAACGAAGACCTGATGCAGCCCAAAATAAATTTAAAAAGTACACCAACATTTAAATATTGAGAGAGATCACCAAAATCTGGATTTCCAGCTTTTCTGGAAAAATTGGAAGATCTTGCAACCCAGGGCCCACGTTTTACAGTACATCGGAGCTGAGTGGCAGCTGCCCCTCTTTGGTAGGAAAGGAGCCGCCGCACCCGCCCCCAGGCAGCCTCAGTCCCTTCCATACCCTGGTGTCCCCCACCACCCCACCTCCACTGAGACCAGGTACCAGGCCCATTTGTCATCGTGCTGTTACTGGCCTGTTTCTTGGGTACAGAAAAATATGTCTCTGCTATTCTGCCCCAAAAGTGCTAGGAAGAAAAAGAGGCTGAGAGGGCCATGGGCTTCTTGGTACAAGTGAAGAATGTTCCTGGGTATGGAATATGCAAAGCGTGTCTGACCCCTGGTTCTCTTCACCTGAGTATCTTGCACACCTTTGAGCTGTAACCCCCTGTTAAGGCATTTCCAAGCTCTTCCTTGATGTCCTCCTCCCATCCTCCGTCCACCCCCTTCGGTTTCTTGTCCCTGAAACCCCTGCAGAAACACATGTGCGTCTGTGTCCGACTCCCTATCTTGGGGGGCTCGGCTGACACTGCTGACTTGGTAAAGTTGGTAGCAGCTGAGCAGACCTCCTCTTGGGGCTCCTGACCGTCCTCCCAGGCTCCCAGCTGGAGGGACACAGGGGCCAGGGGTCTGATTGGGCAGGCTCACGGGCTTCGGTTTCTGGGTCCTGCATCCCCTGGGCGGCCCCCCGGTGGTCCACGGTGAATGGAGTATGAAGCCAGCTCCCCCCACCTAAGAGAAGATGGGACTCAAGCAGATACAGAGAGGCAGGTGCAGAGATAGAACAGCGAGATTGCCAGTGAGATGTGGGAACTGCTCTCCATGCAGCCAAAGTGAGCTGCTTAAGACACAGACCCTCAAACATTTCAAAGCCACCTTTTTCCTTTTTTTTTAATGGACCTCAGGTGCACAGAATGCAATTACTCATGATCCTTGTTCTGTGACATACTTATCGATCCTAGCTTTCAAGTTACGTTTGTTTATTGTTTGAATAAGAATACCCCCCACTGCGACCATGACATGATGGTAACTGCTGTCCACCCACACTTATCTTTCCCTTGACTTTTACAAACAGTTTTGTCCTGTGTATACACCTGATAAGGGCATCTGACTGTATTTTCTGGGGCTTTCCTTTTTCCACTCAACGATGTATTACAAAGTATAGATGATATTCCATGTTTCCCTGGCTGTACACAATTGGACCACAGCGCCGTAGAATATTTCTCTTCCGCGAGTTAGGGGTCTTTCCTTCTGGGGTCTGCTGCGTCTGCTGCTTCCCCTGCCTGGATCTCATCCTCTCTGAGCCCTTCCCAGACACCCCATCCAAAGGAAACCCTCACAGCTGCTCTGTTTTTAAAAAAACAAAAACAAAACAAAACAAAAAAACCCTCCTTGGGGACTTCCCCGGCAGTCCAGTGGTTAAGACTCAGAGCTTCCAATGCAGGGGGCGCAGGTTCGATCCCTGGTTGGGGAACTAAGATCCCACATGCCTCGGGGTGCGGCCAAAAAGTTAAAAAAAATTTTTTTTTCTTTTTAAAAAAATAAATAAGACGCTTCCTTGTTCCACAGCCCTTCCCGCAGTCAAACTATGGTAATGCTTGGTGTGCTTGTTTTTGCCTGGCCCCATGTCGGCGGGGTCCTTCCCCATCTCAGCAGATGCTTGACTGCTGGTGCTCTGGGACCCACCCCGTGGAGAGGGTGGGACTCAGGCGCGCTTGGGTGGGAGTTCTTGGGGGCAAACCTGAGCTGCTTTTGTGGAATTACGGGAATTTGGGGCAGAGGAAGCCAGCCAGGAAATCTTTTTTTTTTTTAATAGGATGTTTATAGCAGCTTTATTCATAATAGCCAAAAACTGGAAACAACCAAATGTCATCAACAAGAGAAGGGATAAGTTAAACTATATTATAATACATTATAAATATATATAAACATACACATATATTCAGCAATAAAAGTGGCTACAAAACGACATAAAGTAAAACAGATGCATCTCAAAAACAATACACTGAACAGAAGAGGCCAGACACAAGATAGTACACACCGTATGACCTCACGGCTGTGAGGCACACAAGCCGGCAAATGATCTGATGATAGAAACTGGCACAGGGGTTGCCTCTGGGTGGTCTTGGGGACCCACAGGCAAGGGACAGAAGGCTTTCTGCAGTGATGGGAATGTTCAATATCTTTTTTTTTAATTGGAGTATAGTTGATTTCCAATGTCGTGTTAGTTTCAGGTGTACAGCAAAGTGACTCAGTTATACATGTATCCACTCTTTTTTTTTTTAGATTCTTTTCCCATATAGGCCATTACAGAGTATTGAGTAGCGTTTCCTGTACTATACCGTAGGCCCTTATTATCTATTTTATATATAGTAGGGTGTATGTCATTCCCAGTGTCCCAGTTTTTCCCTCTTGATTGGGGTGGTGGCTAAATGGGAGTATACAATTGTCAGAATTCGTCTGACGGTACACCTAACATCTGCACATTTCATTATGGTAAATTATGCCATAGTTCAGAAAAAGGCTTTGAGTAAAAAAAAAAAAAAAAAATTACCTGTACGAAACTGTGCTCCAAGCCCAGGTTGACCTCATTAGAAACATTTGTCGCCTAAAGCGATGAGTGCCATTGAGGAGCTGCTCAGCCCGGGCGGGGGGGGGGGGGGGCGCCAAGGGGACTTTTTTTTTTTTTGGCAACACCACGTGGCATGCGGGATCTTAGTTCCCTGATCAGGGATCGAACCTGTGCCCCCTGCAGTGGAAGCGTGGAGTCTTAACCACTGGACCTCCAGGGAAGTCCCAAAAGGGATGTTTTAGAGTCCTTTTCCCCATCCATCTTCAGGTCACCCCCTCACTGCCTCTGCCCCCTCAAACCTTTGTTCTGAGGACCCTAGAGGTACACCCTGGCATGTGAGCCATGTAGAAAGGCAAGAACTTGAACCTTTGGCCTCCACCCAGCCTGCCCTCTGGGATTTTTCTTCTCTGGTAGTGAAGTAGCAGCCACGTGGGGCGTGCACAGATCTTATGCGTGTGGCTCTGTGAATTCCCACAGACTGACCACACCTGGGGAACCAGCTCCCAGGAAAACCCCATAGAGAACGTTCCCAGGATCCTGGAAGTCTCCCCACTACCCCCTTCTGGTCACCACTCCCCTCTCCTGCCCTCTCACCTGTCTTCTGTCGCCTCTGTGTGATTCTGCCCATTTTCGAAGCATTGTTGGTGCCCAAACTGGGACAGTCCAGGCAAACCAACAGGTCGTTCCCGTCCATCACCTCCCTGCTGGCATTGCGGTGAACGGGTACTATTGGAACCAGCTTAAACCCCCAGCCCTGGGTCCTGACATTCGGGGAGCAGTGGTGCTTCTGGTTTAGGGAGCAGTGTGCTCCACGGGGTGTAATAGGTGTTCTCAGTCTTGTCTCGGAGAGCCCAGAAGTGCCAGGCCCACAGCGGCCGGGGGGGTCTGCAGGCATAGAGATAGCAGAGCCGGGTATGAGGCAGCCCCAGGAGCAGCAAGCAGGGGCTCCTTAAAGGGACACTGCCTTGCAGCTAGGCCCCCGCCCAGGGTGGTCCCCCCCCCAGCACTTGGTGGCGGATGTGCCACGCTCAAGCCCCTGGTTAGGCAGCTTGCCAGCGACCTCTCCCGGCCAGGAAGGCCCAGGCATCCGGCAAGGGAGGCTGGCCCCCGGCCACTCTGGTTTTCCAACTTCAGCTGTGCACCCACCCTCAGCAGGCCCCCTCGGTACTTTTCAGGGTTCACCAGGTGAGTGCAATGTGTAGCCAAGGTTGAGAACCAGTGCTTTCAGCAAACAGCTGAGGTTTATGCAGCGTTTTAGCCCGTAAGCCCTGTTCTCACTGTGCGAAGAGGTGATGATCCTACTGGGCTCCTTTCCTGCCATTTTTCCAGCTGGAGCAAACATCCCTGCGTCTCTGAAGGGCAGAATTAAGACTAGCTGGGTATCGGTTATTAAAGAGGCCACCTTGATAGAGCTTTCTAGAAATAAGCTACCCCAGGATGGAATGAATTGCTGCGCAGAGGAGTGAGCTCCCCCTCCCTAGAGGTATGCAAATAGAGGCTCGGTCTCCGGGATCCCCTTATCGAAGGAGGCAGCACACAGTGGCCTTCCCAGCCTGATTCTGTACCTGTGCTCCATCTTCCTGTCTGAGTGATTCCAGGAAGATCCCTCCCCCCTGCCCATTGCAGTTTTAATGGGGAACTTGTGGTAAATGATTCCACCAATTAAACCAACCCTCGCAAATCTCTTCCCTCTGCTAATTTATCTGGTTTGTAAATCTGAAATCTCAGCGTGGATCTGCTGGACGAGTTTACCTGGAAATGGCCCTCCTCCTCTCCCCGCTCTGTCTCCCCCTCCCCCTCCCGGCTTAAGGTCCACAGGGCTCTGAGCGGCCCGGGCTCCTTGCCCAGGATGCCCAGGAGAGGCCCCTGTGAGGGCCTCGCTCTGCTGGGTTCGGAATCCGAGAGTAAACAGATCGAGTGTCAGCCAGGCTGCCCATAACAGGCAGCCACAGCCATTGAAAATGAGAACTGTTCTCTGAGATGACTCAGCCTTCGGCCCCAGGGTCAGGGCAGCCCCAGGCCC